CAGGCTTGAGAGTCATGAGGAAGCCTGGTTCAAACTGAAGGCCCCTCTACTCCGTTCCTGTAGCATCCGTCCCCAAATATAGAAGTATCAGCATATTTATCTGAAGAGACCCTGCCTTTTCAAAGCTTGATGCAGATGAGCAAACCCCTCGGCAACTAATGGGTGCCGTATTACTTCCAGCAGTTGTTAGAGGTCACCATTTACACAGGTCTTTTTTAAACAAAGCTTCCATTTCAGTCTTCTAAACCAACATACATATCAGTGCACTGTCGGTAAGTTTTGAAGACTCTCGTGACAGTTTTTCCCATGACGACACAGCAAAAACGTTCTGTCCCCATTCAACAGATTCTGATACCCAAGGAAGCGCCTCAATGACACGGGCATTCCTGCTGGAAGTTCTCGTTTGTATTCCTTCCCGGGAAGAAGCAGAGTCCCAGTAGTGCCCAGAGGAGACATTGCTGAAGATGAACATATATCACAGTGTTAAGCTACTTTTGTTACTGACGATGTTTCCTAAAGCCTCAGTATGACTGGCAAAGTCTAGTTCATAATAAACAGAAGTGAAAATATTACAGGATGGGGCCAGATATGAGACCAATGCGTATAACACGCACTTTTTGAAAACTTGTTTTCAATTCAAGAACTGTTGGGTTCAATTCAACAGATATACATGGACTGTTTGCATGTCCAAGCACGCGTGTGCGGTGGCCACTGCCCACTGACCTCGCTAAGCAGACTGGTACTTTGTCTTTTTCTCGGCCCTTCCCTCCTCCCTGTTTTGGACCAGGGCAGGGCAAAGGAGAAAGGTGTGGGCCAGTCAGGGGCCAATCATGCCTTCGCTGAGCCGGCTGGGGGGTCAGCACCTCCCCGAGTGTGCTGAAGGTCCCCTCGCGGCCGCGTATTAGGTGTTCTGCCAAGAACAGGGCCGGGAGAGTTCGGTGGGACACCGGGTTACAGAAAACCAAGCAGATTCTCATTGCTGGGCTTCAAATTTCTTTACCATTCTACTGTGCTTTGTGGGAAACAGTCCAGACTAGATGCTGCCACCTCACACTTGCTCGATCCGAAATACTTCTCTGTAAGATACTGACGGCTCGGGGTGCTGGCGTGGGCCCGGAGCAGGCTGGGGGGGCTCCTTCCCGAGGGACACGGTCTCCCGGCCTGCGTGCCAGAATCCAGCCCCTGACGCAGACAGAGCCGGCATCGTGAGCTGGGCCTCCCACGAGGACCTGTTTCCAGTCTGTCTGCTTCTTTGGATCAGGAGAGAAGAATCAGTAATACCATTAAAACTCTTCCTTTTGGAATTTGTGTTCGGAAGCCCTTAGTGGGGAATAGAGACAAAGGGACCCCAGGAGCTGTGCTCCGTCAGGCGCTTGACTTGGGTTGAGAGCTTTCGAGATGCCGGTCATGCCATGTGGACCAGCATTGCTATTTTTAGTGCCATTGTGATGATAGAATTATTATTTTCTTTTTAATTCTCCGTGGCGGCTGCTGCGGCTAGCTCCGTGGAATGCCAGCTCCCCTCGCCTCTGGCTGTGCCCTCCCTTCTGCTCGGGCGTTCCTTCCCTGTGCGACACCTCGGTTCTGTTTCCCCCTCCGGCCTGTGACGCACTGATTCTCCGTCTTCACACTGAGCGCTTGCCTTTGCCTGGCTAACTACCCCGACACCACGCGCAGTGGCGGTTCACTGCCGCCTGTCCCTCCTGGTCGGGCGCAGCGGGAGACAGACGGGCGCTGCTGTGGACATCTGGACCTGGCTGGCTCTGCGCTCTCCTCCCAGGTACAGGTTGTGTATCGCTCAGCAGATCCGACAGGGAAGTAAAGGAGATGGCAAGGATTGCCTAACTGACCCGTCCTCCAGGGCGTCCTTGTGACTAAGACGAAGCAGGGTGACACTTATCGAAGCGCAGTGCTGAGTTCAGGCGGTCCTTCTGCCACCTCGAAGTGCAAGCAGCTGCAGACCCAGGAGGCGCCTTCTGCGGGTCCCTGGCCAGGACTCGCTGCTGTTTCCCTCGCGCTGTCTCGGGTTCTGGAGGCCGCCTCTGTGATCCAGGCGTTCTCAGCGCTGCTCAGAGCTCGGTACCCACACACTTCAGGCTCTCCAGCTTGGATGGAATTGTTGATTCAGGGTCAGGCCAGTACGAATTAAGTAGGGAATTACTCAGCGTGCACCAGCAGCCCCAAGGTACAAGCGCCCAGCTGCGGGGTGGCTGTGACCGCTCTGACCGCTTCTCACCGCGGGCACTGCCGCGGAGCTTCCCGCGGGCAGAGTGCAGTTCCGCTTCGAGAAGTCTAGGTGCAGAGCGAGGGAGGGACGCCGGGCTGCGGAGAGCCCGGGGCCTGCGGGGTGCAGTTCCGCTTCGAGAAGTCTAGGTGCAGAGCGAGGGAGGGACGCCGGGCTGCGGAGAGCCCGGGGCCTGCGGGGTGCAGTTCCTTCGAGAGAAGTCTAGGTGCAGAGCGAGGGAGGGACGCCGGGCTGTGGAGAGCCCGGGCCTGCGGGGTGCAGTTCCGCTTCGAGAAGTCTAGGTGCAGAGCGAGGGAGGGACGCCGGGCTGCGGAGAGCCCGGGGCCTGCGGGGTGCAGTTCCTTCGAGAGAAGTCTAGGTGCAGAGCGAGGGAGGGACGCCGGCTGCGGAGAGCCCGGGGCCTGCGGGGTGCAGTTCCGCTTCGAGAAGTCTAGGTGCAGAGCGAGGGAGGGACGCCGGCTGCGGAGAGCTCGGGGCCTGCGGGGTGCAGTTCCGCTTCGAGAGAAGTCTAGGTGCAGAGCGAGGGAGGGACGCCGGCTGCGGAGAGCTCGGGGCCTGCGGGGTGCAGTTCCGCTTCGAGAAGTCTAGGTGCAGAGCGAGGGAGGGACGCCGGGCTGTGGAGAGCCCGGGCCTGCGGGGTGCAGTTCCGCTTCGAGAAGTCTAGGTGCAGAGCGAGGGAGGGACGCCGGCTGCGGAGAGCTCGGGGCCTGCGGGGTGCAGTTCCGCTTCGAGAGAAGTCTAGGTGCAGAGCGAGGGAGGGACGCCGGGCTGTGGAGAGCCCGGGCCTGCGGGGTGCAGTTCCTTCGAGAAGTCTAGGTGCAGAGCGAGGGAGGGACGCCGGGCTGCGGAGAGCCCGGGGCCTGCGGGGTGCAGGCGCTTCTCCCAGGTGCCGGCTCTGGGGCTCCCGGCGGCCGGCAGTCCTCTTTGCTCCTCTCCTCGACTCCGCCCGCCTCCCCACCCCCTTCCCACCACTGCACACGCCCTCGCCGGCCACTCCTTGGACAGAACCGGGCTCTGTCGCAGAGCAGTCGAGCGGCACGTCCCGGGCAGCTGGCCGGCACACACACTCCAAGTGCCGTAGCCTCGTGTGCTGGCTCAGTGCTCCGAACTGAGTCCCGGTTCTCCGTGCGCAAGACATGGCCTTGGCCCGGGTGATGACCTCTGTCCACGCAGCCTGAGAGGGGCCCCGCGGTGGCACCTCCCCGCGCCGGCAGGGAACTCAGTCCTCTCGGCCCCTCTGATCCCTCCTCAGCCCTTCAGTCCGCACCCGTCGCTTCGGCCGCGGGCCCAGATGAAGGCGTGCTGCCCGGGGGGGCAGGAGGGCTCGGGCTGACCCACTTGGGCCCTTCAGGGAGGCCCCAGGTCTCCTTGGAACACCGCGGGACATTGGATTTCCAGATCACCGCGCTGGGCAGTCCACACTCTCCCTGTGCTATCACGTGTCGGGCCGTATTTTCAGAATAACTGCACCGGAGCTGTGATGAGGCCGTTCCCCACCCCAGTGCTGTTCGCTCCGAGCCGGGGCTCCTGGCGACACTGGCTGCAGAGCCCTGAGCCGCCTTTGCGGCCCTCATGCAGCCCGAGCAGCCGCCCCGTCGTCGCCTCTGACAGCCCCCGGAATCGAGGTGTTTTCTGAAAGCTCCCTGCACGGGCTGCTGGTCCCCCGAGAGCTCCTGCACCGCCGGGCACCCTCCGCCCAGCGTCAGCAGGCCGGCAGCGACAGCACCCGCGTGCCGGACGCTGCCCTCACTGGCCGCCGGAGGGCGCCGCCCGTCCCAGTCCCTGTGGCCCCTGTGCCCTGAGGATCACAGCATCTCTCATCCCACGGGCTCCTTTCACCACAGTGCTGTGTCTTTCGAGTGACTGCCATCGGCCTGCTTCCGCTGTCTGAAGTCCAGAGCGCTTAAGACACCCCTCAGGGTGGAGGACTTGAACCTGCCTCCCTGCGGCCCGCCCCGCCCGCCCTTGTCTCAGCGCCGAGCTGAGTGAGCAGAACCCGCTCCCCTGTGCTGACGCGGCTCTCCGGTAGACGGCGACCGCTCGACCTGCTGTTCCCGAGACTGAAGACTCGTTAAAGAGACGCACATCAAGAAATGCCGTTACGTGCTGCGATACAGCAAAGGCCGAAAGCAGTGTGCGAGTCTGTGCTGTGGCCGGTGTGCAGGGAGCTGGACCCCGCTCCCGAGCGCTTCCCTGCCCTGCCACATGCGCACACTCGTCCTCGGTCGCATGCCTGTCCGTCCTCAAGTGGTCGCGAGACCTGCCCTGGTTCTGAGTACTCCACATATCGTTGGGACGAAGGTGGTTACCTTCTATCCTTCCGAAAGTGTCAGTGGAGCAGCTGTGAGGACAGTGGCAGTGCTCATGGTGTAGGAGTCCCCCGGAGGGGTGTAGGGGGACAGCTGTGAGGGCAGTGGAGCAGTGTGCTCATGGTGTAGGAGTCCCCCGGAGGGGTGTAGGGGGACAGCTGTGAGGACAGTGGCAGTGCTCATGGCGTAGGAGTCCCCCGGAGGGGTGTAGGGGGACCGCTGTGAGGACAGTAGCAGTGCTCATGGTGTAGGAGTCCCCCGGAGGGGTGTAGGGGGACAGCTGTGAGGACAGTAGCAGTGCTCATGGTGTAGGAGTCCCCCGGAGGGGTGTAGGGGGACAGCTGTGAGGACAGTAGCATTGCTCATGGTGTAGAAGTTCCCCCGAGGGGTGTTCCAAGTCCTGCATTTCTAGAAACCAGTGCTGATTGCCTTCTCTCCCCTGGCAGGTCATAGCCCTCTGCAGGGAGGCTGCCCTTCTGGCGCTGGAGGAAGACATCAAAGCCAAGTGCATCCGGAGAAGACATTTCACTCAGGCCTTGAGCACCGTGACGCCCAGGATTCCAGAGTCACTGCGGCGTTTCTACGAAGAGTATCAAGAGAAGAGTGGGCTTCACATGCTGTGAAAGCTCCCACCTAGTCACTGTGCCCACGGTGCTTTCTAGGGAGACCGGTTTCGTGTTAAAATTTTGTGTTGAGAGTTAAAAAAGAAATTGTTAAGAAACAAAATGTCTGAAATAGGCTGACTGGAATTGAGGGGCTTCAGTTTTTGTAGACAGTTTAAAGCATATGCTACAATGAAAATGTCCATGAGAATCTCTGGGCAGTTGTTTAAATCCGTTTTGTCTGGAAATGTGTGCTGAGTTTAAAATGCAAACTTCTAGCTTTTTCATTTGTGACCTGGTCCCTTCATCGTGTGCAGTGCTCCCCTCCCTTTGGAACCACAGCAGCGCATCCCTGCGCCCATCTGCACGCGGCGCGTACGTGGGAAGTGCTCACACATCTCCATTTCTGAAGGCAACAGTGAAATGGCCCAGTGCACCAGCCAAGCGTCTGTGGCCTTATTTCCAAGAACGTCCTGGTTCTCACTGAACTCATATCTGCATTTCCCTTCAGCCATGTTAACCTTACAGAATTAGAGGAAGAAGAATTGAGTCATTTCATACACTGTAATGCCCTTTGGAAAAAAAGGAAATTTAAGCCCAGTGCAGGCCTAGAGCAGTAGACTTGGTTTTTGTTGTGTTTTTGTTTTTCATCAAATGCTAGAAGTAAATCATATTAAGTGTTCATGTTTTAACTTGTACACATTTTCAGGTCACCAATAAACTTTTCAGTTAACAGATAAACTGATTGTACTCTCATTCATATTGTCTCGTGTTAACATTCTACATATGTGAGTTTATACTCCTGATTACTTCATCCTTCGGATTTCTTGGCACTTGAATACTCCATAAATGTCCATGAACAGTTGGTGGGCGTTGCTTTCCCAACTTCCTGGCAATAGAAAGAATGTACCCCTAAACCTAGTCAAAATTCCCAGAAAGACAAGTCAGGCAAGAAATACCTGATTAGCCATGTCTCAGCTGCTTTATCTGTACCTATCGGGAGGGATTTGCAAGGCTTCGTTCCCAGACTCCATCGGGCCATCAGTACATAAAACCGCCCAGGGACGAAAAATACTGCTGCTATTTAGAGTTGTGCTGTCAGATGTAGTAGACACTGGTAACGTGACTATTTCCATTAACATTTTAATTAACTAGAATGAAATAGTATTAACAGTCTAGTTCATCATGCATGTTAGCCACATTTCAAGAACTCGATAGCCCCATGTGACATGCCTGCCACACTGGACAGAGATTCTAGAACATCTCCATCACTCGGAAGTGGTTTGGACTCTGCTGATGTAGAAAACGAGGTTCACACCGTGAAACAGATGGAACCCCAACTACTGTGTGCTTCCCGTTTCCCCTCTGCTTATGGGAGGAGCGCATCTTCTTTCCTGTAAGTGCTGAGGGCACAGGAACATGCGAGAACATGTTTTCCCCAAAGGACTGGACATGAAAATTAAACCCTATTGCCAATAAAATAAAAACCAGAACAGTAAGCTTGAACGGACACCGAGGCTTGCGGGCTGGGTGGCGGGGAAGGGCTGGCAGTCTCGGGCAGCAAAGAGTTCAGGTGTCAAAGTTCACTCAGAGCCTTCAGCCCACATGGCACATGGAGTTATAACTGAGCCCCCTACTTCATGCCGGATCTCTAAAGACCTTCAGTGTAGAAGACTGGAAAAGAAACCTGCTGGCAGGGCAGACCGCCAGGAGCCTCCCTTGACTCGGGCTGTGCTTTGAATTGAAGAAGGAAAAAGGCCCCTCTGAGAACTCTGACTGCGGACTCCCGACCACGGCTCAGGGTTTGCGTCCATAAGACCTTGTGATACAGGAGCGCGGAGCCCGGAAGTGAACAGGACAGCATGGGTCTGCGCCAGAAACGCCCTTCGGATGCCGAGCAGGTGCTCGCGTTGGAGGACTAGATCCTCAGCCTGGCCACGGGGGTCCCGTCAGCTAGGATCCCGCCTCCGTGGCTTCCAGCCCGAAGGACGTGGGGCCGTGCCCGCTCTGCCGCTGGAGCGTAAACGGGACAGCCGCTTCGGAAAGCAGCCGGCGTGTCTGGTCACGTCGAAGACCCTGTGACCCTTTGGTGCGTATCTGAGGGCAAGTTGTGTTCAGTGAGGAAATGAATCAGAAAATCAAAGCACCATTGTTGGTAAGTAGCACGAAACTGGAAACAACCTAAATATCCAACAAAAAGAGCCCTGGCCGGTTTGGCTCAGCGGTTAGAGCGTCGGCCTGCTGTCCAGAGAGACCTGGGTTCGGTTCCCGCTAAGGGTGGGTACCTCGGTTGCAGTTTGTCCCCAGCCCTGGTTGGTCGTGTGGGTGGCAGCCACTCAATGTGCCCCTTCACATCGATGTTTCTCTCTCTCTGTCTCCCTTCCACTCTATCTGAACAAAAAATTGAAAAATGTCCTTGGGTGAGGATAAATAAAAAAGAGAGTGGACCTCGCCCTAACCAGTTTGGCTGAGCAGTTAGAGTGTCGGCCTGTGGACCAAAGAGGTGACGGTTCTATTCTGGTCAGGGGCACGGACCTCAGTCAGTTACGGGTCGGTCCCTGGCCCTGGTCGGGGTCCTGTGGGAGGCCACCATCAGAGTGACTCTCTCACATTGATGTTTCTCTCTCCCACTGCCCCTTCATCCCACTCCGAAAATAAATGGAAAACGATCCTTGAGTGAGGAGTTAAAAGCGAGTGGCCATCTATGGAATGCTCACTCGATGCAGTGCTGAGGGCAGAAGAAACAGCTGTGTGGAAGGTGAGGCTCGAGCGCGTCTCAGAAGATACTGACAACGTGTATGTAATGCTTGAGGCACGCAGAACAATACATGTTGTTCGTGGGACGTGAAGTAAAAGACTGCAAGCGTGGGAGTGAAAACCACCGAGTACTGGGGAGGAATTTCCTCGGGGAGAAGAGTTGAAACGTTTCGTGTCTTACGTGGGCCATGGGGATGTGGGCACTGATTGCAATGCAGTCTGCACTTTCTGCAAGCCTACGTATTTCATGATAATTTTAAAAAGATGAGCCTTAAGCTGGATTGTTACGGTTCAAGGGCGAAATGCACCTGTGGCCATGAGTGTTCTAAGCAACATCACAGGCTTATCGGCGAGCCCAACCCCACGGGCTTCCAGGCTGTCCCCAGTGCTCCCGACCCCATGAGCCCAGAAAATCGGGCGTATCAGGACGAGGGCAGGCTTTCAGGACCCGAGACACAAGTCGGGAGAAATGTTGTGGTAACAAGCGTTAGTGTATCGGTGACCGGTCTTGGGAGCATCGGGAGAAAGGCGTTCGAAGTGAAGAATCTGAAAGAGATGCTCAGAGAGCTACATCTTCAGTGTGACAAACCAGTTACTGTTTACGTCTTTGGATAGCCAGTTACTGCCATGCTAGAGGCAATGGTGTTTCTTTCTCTGCAGCGTGCGCCCTTTGACCACGGTCCCGGTGAAAACCGGAGTCGGGCGTCACCGGAGCTCGCCCCAGCGTCATCTCCACGAGGTGACGACTCCAGTCTCGTGTTTATGGACTTGAAACGGTGTAGGATCCTGTTTTGGGGTTTGTTTGTGATTGAACACACAGTATAGTTCATGGAAAAATTCACTTCAGCAAGGAAAGAAAATGCTTTTTTTGGCCTCTGTTTGGTCAAAAGTTTGTCTTTGGGCCAGACCCTTTTCCGGGTTTCGGGGATGTTCACATTGACGCTTTTTTCCAAGAGACTTTAGTTTGAATAGTGAAATTAATGTTTCCTTCTAACAACAAAACTTAGAAGAATGACTTCTAGCTTTTACGTCTTCATGACCAAGAAAGTGTATTCATAAGCTTAATACTGACTGCCCTAGCTTACCTTGAAAAATGTTCAGTTCTGTGTTATTTCTAATGTGTAAAACAGGTTTTAAACATAATGTATAGGTTTTCCATTTTGGAAACGTACTTATTGGATTTATGGGAAAACCAAATTTGAGTGTGTGTTTAATTTATCTTAATCACGAGGAAGCTACAGAGAAGTTCTGTAGAATAGAAAACAGTGACCGCCGCCTGAGGCGAGCTTTGGAGTCTTGGGGCCTGTCGTCACGTCCCGAGTCCTCCCTTCAAGGGGGCGCACACCAGAGCGCCCCTGGACGTTTTAGACGCACTGAATTAGCAACAGTGGTTTCCAGATGCAGAAGTTCTAAAGCTCCAAGTTCACTGGCTCCCCTTCCTTCAGTTTCCACGATGACAGTTGTGTGTACGGAGGCTTTTTACCTAACGTCTCTCTCAGATACACCCCCAGGTGTATTTGGGGGCTCACCTTTGGGGAACAGAATTCACAGCAAATTTGGTCAGAAAGAGTTATGTTGCAGTCCGACCGGTGTGACTCGGTGGTTGAGTCTCGACCCTGCACCAAGAGGTCGCTGGTTCGGTTCCTGGTCAGGGCACGTGCCCAGGTTGTGGGCCCGATCCCCAGTGGGGGGTGTGCAGGAGGTGGCCAGTCGATGTTCTCTCTCATCAGTGTCTCTCTCTCTCTCCCCCTCTCCCTTCCTCTCCCTAAAATCAATGAAGGGGGAAAAAAGGAAGAGATATGTTACAGGGCTATAAATGGCTTACACAAAATCAATGGCAAACGTTTCTAGAGATATGGTTCAAGTGTCAACAAGCACACACCGCACACAGCGGAACCCGAGGACACGAGGAGAGGAAAGTCGCGGTCATTTAGACCGAAGTAGGGAGCAGATGCTAACTCATTCCAAGGCTCTGTCAGATACGGCACATTCGGGACCAACTGGGGACCAGGGAGCTCAGCACACTCAGAGCACATTCGATGTGACAGGAAGTAACCTACGGATTCAAGACGCCATCGGTGGTAAGACTGCTTATTTAAAAACATCTTCTTTGGGGGACATAAACAGATAAAGTGCTGTGATTTGAATATTTTTACATCCTGGTTCAGAAACATTAAAAGATGGAAAACATACACAGTAAAAGTCAAACACAGCTCAGCGAGAAGGGATCTGCTGTGTGACACTCTGTCCACACACTTACCATGAGCCCACAGCAGTCACAGTCCTGTTCACACCATCA